CGTACCAACTTCCTGACGCTGTCTCTGATCAAGCAGTTCCAGTTACCTCAGGTAGCATTACACTTTTTAAGGAAAAGAAAGTGTTGAGGCTTTTTCTTTCCTTTGTCGTTGCTGCGTTTTGTTCGTCTGGGTTTTCAGTAATCATTCTGCTTTCGAAACGAAGTGTCCGGAAAGTTTCTGATTAGCGGCTGGAATAGTATTAAATAAAAAAACTTTAGTAGAAATTATCGAGATAGCATAAATTACCTATAAAAATCCTTAGGAGAACAGAAAAATTTGATAGAAAACCAGTTGTTCAGATTAACAATTATTCTATTTTCAGTGGTTGTTAGTTTTTTAGTAGCTACTTAGATCAGTTGGCTTGAGGATGTGTTTTGATCTAGGATGTTTAATTTTATTTTCTTTATTTTATAAGTCGTTAAAATTTATAAGTCCAAATTGAGAATGAGGATCTGCCCCTGCACAGTGTTGTTTGCGGCCCCAACGGTCGCATAGCATTCGTGTTCGCCGATCGGTACCACGACACATGGTGCTCACATAATGGCACTGTTATTTTCTGGCACAGGCGTATCACCGATCGTCTGGTATTTCCCAGTTGCCCAACAGTACTCAGGTTAGCTAATTTTCTCAAGAGGTTTTTTTTATTTATACGTTTAATGAAAACATCCACGTACTAGTAGTAGTGACGGACTGGAGGAGGGAGTGAGTGGGAAACAAAGAGACTTATTGGAGATATACTGTTGGCTTCCAAGAGCTCATAAAGCAGATATCTGAAGTAACTAAATGCGTCGTGTGGGCGCATCCCAGTAAAATTACTGATAACGGATTTGTACGGTTCTTCGGGCGGTTTTGACAGCTTTGGTAATTCACAAAATACGTTTTTTTCTGTTTGCTTTTCTTTTTTCTTACCATATTCCGGTTTACTGTTATCTGAACGTTCTTGTGCTGATAGCAGTACTGATAGCAATATCACACTTTGCGCTCTTGTATGAAATAGTCTTGTGCCGCTAACTGGTATCCGTCGAGAATAAGAATCATTCAGATCACTTTGGCAAAATTGTCCAAGAGTATAGTAGCAACGGTGATTAACAGCTGTGTTTAGCGAATAATCCATAAGATCTGGCAGCGTTGCGCTGGCCGTGAAGGTTTACAATTCAGTAGTTCTAAGCAAGCTTCACATTTATCGCCCGAACTATATCAATTTGAACAAATTGCTATATCTTATGGAAGATCTTGTTTTGGTCAGTTTTGTGAAAAATATTTTTTCCGACTAATACTTACTTATATAGATATGGTCCTCAAGGAATGATTGCCATTGGCCTAGTAACAGGCCATATTTTAATGGTACTCAATGGGGAAATTATTTCAACAAAAGAGGTATTAATTTATGCACCTTGTTGTTAATTCGTTCCAGCATTTCAATAGAAATTTTAATAAATTTTAACTTTTAACAAAACATGTTAATAATAATCCAAACTTGCTTACTCGCTTTGTTAGCTCAGTATCACAACTGGATCTCGTCAGTAAGAATTGTCATGTAACGTCACTTATATTTCATATGATTCAGTTATCGTACGCATACATTCGAAGATCTATTTCGTGTAGTAATTTTTAGGCACACGATCTGTCGGTAACATCGTTTGAGTGGCTTTTCGCGCAACAGCAACTTATATCAGTGTCCTTGGACGGTCGCATTATCATTCACCATCTCAGATCGACTACGCTGGTGGAGAAGCACTCGAAGCTTGTGACCATTGCGAATCTTCCGCGTAGCATTCGCAAAACCAATACATCCACCAAATACACCGGTAATATGATTTTCCTCACAACTTCGGCAGTTTTACAAATTTAGTCATTTTCAAGCATTGCAACAAATCGGTATTATTTAATTTACAAACTGGGCACTGCGCAGCCTGCTTATCTCGAGTAACGGTTTGCGAATACAGCCCAACAGCACTTGCACCAAGCAGAATAATCTCTAAAAAAATCGTTCTTGAATTCTAGGCTTACTGAAGAAGTAATTTTTGCCAATGGCAACATTAGTGAGGGTCATTT